CGTCCATATAAAACTGCAGATAATACTCCAAGGACGGCACCAGAATACTCAGCCATGATAGCTCTAGAGAAAAAATTTAACAAAAAAACAGTAAGTAAACATATCCATATGAAGAACAGGAAATTCAACAGAAACTTCTGGTAGCCATTTGATAGGACTGAAAGCAAAGAATGCCTTTTGCTTAGCTTGGGAAGTGGAATACCAGTACATCATTTCCGTTTGAATCACACAAGAAGATTGCAAAAAATCTTTCTCAAAATGCTAGTAGACTTTTCATCTGTTAAGTCCATAATTTTGTCCTCGTCTCATCTTTTTAGCCCCTTGTTTACTACTTAAATTACATTGTGTCCAAGTACCGTGATATATTTAAATCCACTAGTACCAAGCAAGCAACTGCTAGAAAGATGACGTTCATGTTAAATCCTTTATTTTCTTTAACACTCCCTAATGAGGTAGAAGACTCCCAAGAAATCAAAAGAAAACAAAGAAAAAAAAACAAGAGGAACATGCATACATTAGAGAAACAAAAAAAATAGGAAAGGAAAAGATAACTCAGGGTCTAAAAAAGCTAAATAATTCTCCTTTGAATCCTCTTCAAGAATGGAAAAACCTACCTAAGTGGTCCACATGATTTGAGGCCCTTTCCCCACAAGATGAAGTATAAAGCTGTTATCACCCCATTTATCAGAGAAGGCACCACCTGAATATAGACATACACAATGCATAAAGGACTAACCATTGACTTTCTTTGCTTTCTATTTTCAAGCAAAATAGCAAATTTGTTGACCTGTTGGTTAGAGAGTGGTCTGCCTCTCCATGGCTTTTGCAAGATTAAGAATATGATTGAGGATGGAACCAGACAGCAGAAGATAAAGAGTGTCACAGAAGCTCCTGTCTGAGCTAAATAGCGATACATGGAGTACACCGACCATATCCTCAAGAAATTTCCAACAATATGTATTATTTGCAAAGGAGTGTGCCTACAAGAAAGCAATCAACTGTAAAAAAATTTTGACCTGCTAATAACAAGACAAATCAAAATAATACCTAAAATGAAATTCCAGTTCGACAATAGAAGATATAACTTCTATCTGGTTTCCAACTGCAAATGAGAAAAACAGGAAAAGAAGATAAGAACATGCTATGTTATTGCACTCTGTTTTCTCCAACTACAGACAATAAGCCAGTACAAAACATTAGCCTCTGGTCGGACTTCAAAGGGATTTCTGAATCAAAGCGCAGAAAGGACATTATCCAAATACCAGAAGTCCATCAATTGAAAATCAAAACGATCTCAACTAGGCCTACTAGAAGAAGTAGGAGCTCTAAAGCTGATTAGTTAGTCAAGTAAACGGGATTAGCAGAAACCGATAAAACCAGTAACCTCTAAATCCTACACAACAAAGCACAGTCAATAACCTCAAAAAGCTAAACAAGTGTAGGAAGTAAGCGTAATCCTCAAAACTCATGTCACTAATTCCTACAGCTAAGCATCACCTCCACGAGTAATAACAATTTTTCTACTCCGCAATGCATCGAAAACAGCTAGAAAATTTCTTCCCCTGATTTTCTTGGAAATAAAAAAGAAGACAAGAAAATGAACCAACCACTCAACAACCTCCTCATTAATGAACAAAAATAATAAGAAACTAACTTACAAAAACAGAATACTGCATTTCACATACCAGAACCACATCTACATACAAATGAACAACTGAACCAAAAGTAGGAAAAATAATTAATAATAAAAACTTTATCTCCTATCCGTTTTCTCAGTGTTTTCAATGACACCAAACAGATTGATAGGGCTTAAGAAACTCAGGAAACAAAGAGGAAGACAAATAAAACTGAATCGAGGTTTGATTAACAGGTACCTGAAATGAGGAGATCCTCGATCTTCAGGGATTTGCCTGGGCGACATCATTTCCCGACAACAAATTGTTAAGCCACAGCGACTGTATTAAAGCTATAGTGTATTATTAAGAGAAATAATTAACCAACGACATGAATGAACTCCGAATCCGAGTTCTTCAGCTTCAGGGGTTTTACTCGGAGACACAGAGTTTGAGTTGAAACCCGTAACAGACGCTCTCTCTTCCTGGTGCAGAATTTGTATTGGGCTTTACGGATCCAAATTGAACCTTTGGGCTTTACTGGGCCCAAGTCTGAGGTTATGCTTCTAAAAAAAAATTTCACTCCATAATTCATTAAATTCTTGATTTATTTCAAATATATTTTTTTAGTATTAGAAAAAAATTAAAGTCAATACAGTTATAGATAAGAAATTCCAGAATTTTATATAAAAAATTTATATCGATATTAAATTTAGTATAAAATTTAATTTAATTTTATTGAATTTAATCGGGTGAATCACCCACGACGGGACCCAATCCGATTGTAATAGTGAAAAATTTACACACACACACACTCTCTCTCTAAACAAAAAGCTCTCCTTCTACGAAGAAAAAGAGATTTTTGGTTAATTTTTTTTCAAAAATTTAAATTTCTACGAGAGATATTTATGCCGCGAAAATTCACGTACAATTCGTTATACGTTAGTGTGATTGTATGCGATACTATGCAAAATGATCTTGAAAAAATTGTTACAGAATTAATTCGTGAATTATATGTTAATTTCATGAGTTTCTAACAAATTTAATACGGATTAAAACATAATACGATTGTACGCAATAAAGTTTAAATAAAAATAAAATCTTAATTTAAAGTCAACTCAACGTCGGATGTAAGTTAAATAATTTTGTAGTTCTTTAATTTCGACTGTATTAATATAATATTATATTATATTAATTTAAAATTTTAAAACATCGAAAGAACCGATTCAACGAACTATTTAAATTATATGTAAAAATTAAAAGTAAATTAACTAGTGAATTGACTGTAATATTCATATATCCTCGTATACTTAGTGTTCGTGACAGAGAATTATACTTGGAGGAGAAAGAAACCTAACTTTGTACTTTTGGAGCAAATCATGTTGCATCATTTCAGTTCTAATTCAAATCTGTTTAATCCATCAAATGGAAAGAAAAAAACCCAGAAAAAATTTGCAGACAAGTGCTGACTTACAGTGGAAATATCTGAGATGGGACATGCATACAAGAAACTATATGTATACAGACACACACACACACACACACAGAGATACACAGAGTTAAAAGATAACTTGTTTCAGTACACAAGTCTGAGATATGTTGGAGGAAACTCAGCCAAAGACACACAAAACATGGAGACAAGCTATTCAGAATCATTGTACAAAAACTATACATGCACATGCAGTCAGGCACGCAGGTTCTTCGGTGTCAGTTGAATCAAATAACCCATTATAAACTTATAAAAAAATAGTAACGAGTTAAATTCTAAATTCGATGAATCAGATATTACGAGTCAACCCGGAATAAATTTTCAAAATGACGAATTTTACATATTCAATGAGAGTCAAACTCTTAAGTTTTCAGTATTTTAACGGTTAAAATAACATGTTGATTATTAATATTAGCATAATTTGATTTCTTAAGATTATTACTAGTCAAGAAATGGAATCTTTAGCGTATTCTTTTTTAGCTACATCATATAAATTTCTCGTAAGTTATAGAATTCATTGAAGTGTATCTGGACTATATCCCTCTAGTGGAGTAATTTATTTTAAAGAAAACGTATAAATACTGTATCTACTTATCCGGTTACAAGACAGGTTCGATATAGGAAACCCGATTCCGCATTAGAACTTCTATCAATTCCTGCCATTTTCAGGCTAACTGATAAGTAGCAGGGAAGAAATTACAATGTCTGTAATGGTGCATGTACCCATGAAAAGCCAAGGGGGATTTTTCAAAAAGGAGTCAAACTTTAGATAGTAGAAACTTTAAAAGATTCATGACCTTTTTTCATTTAGAAAGAAATTGTAGAACCCACAATGCTTCATCATCTTATGAACATGATATGGCCCATTCAAGCTGTCCTCTCCAAGTCCCATGATTTTGGATGCATTGTATCTGCAAATTTTTTCTTCTTTAATTTTTCTTGGCCCCCAAAAATTAATCTGCAGTTTCATTTTTCAATCATTCACTCCATGAATCGGCTACATCCATGAGATTCTAGTTGTATATCCATACATTCACAGGACCCATTTCAAGGCTCATCTTATTCATCTATCTTCATTGTTGAAATTTGTAACCCTCGTAAATGACATGTTATTTGCTTGGATGAAGATTGATCCGTTATACAAGCACATGTAACCCAATGTAATTTGATCTTTAACTTTATCGTGCTGCTATCGTGACATCGAAAGCAACTGACTGATTAATGGTGGTGCTGCTCCCATCAATTGACTTTGAGCTATGTCTTATGGACATATATATATGGATCCAAGCATTTTTGTTCTCACTGTTTGATGGCGTAGCTTTCTTTTGAGCATGATGGAAGCCTAACACTGAAAAGGTGGAACAAACACTTGATTGTCAAGAAGAAAAAGGCCAAATATTTACAGGGACACTTATTTTTGGACTCACTCCTACTTCATTATATACATATATATACATATGCTTATTCAACCGATTAAAGATAGGTATCTTAACTGTAGAATTGAACCAGTTCTTTCAAAAGCCTAAACTGATTTGATTTAAAGCATGAATCAAGTACGGTTTCTCCGTATTTTTTACTGTTGAAAACTAAGTGGAGCTGAATATCTTGTTAAATAACTTTGTTAATGTGATATTTTCAAAACTTTAAGCTGATAGGAAACAAGGGTTTAATTATTATTTATACACTAACAATGTTTCGACTCTTGAATTTAACTTCTATGTTTTTAGTAATATGAGTCTTCGTCTTTATAGACAAGTTATAACGAACTTCATCGTTTTAAGTTCGGAATCGTGTACTTTGTTGTCATGGAACTAGAAAGACGATCAAAATTTGTACAGAAAATATGTGCAGTGAAGGACAGATCACTTGCTAGTGCTGAAAATGAGAACCTGATAAAATTGAGTACAGAACAGAATATGTCTGTGATAAATGATACAAACACATAAGTACAAGAAAGTTGTTGTCTAAGAATTTCACAAGACCAAATTTCTCCCTTTCTTGTAAACCAAGAAACTGCGAAGCACATGTGGATGTCTAGTAAAAATGTGTAAAACAGGTTCGAAAGTGGCCCCGAGTGCCAAAATTCAAACCATAAGTTGACAAAAATGTATTGCAGAAATTATATGGATACACACCAGCAGGAATACATGAAGCTAAGTCCCGTCAAACACGATTTGTGCTTAGTTGCCATGATTGACACGAGAGCACGAAAGCATACAATAAGATAAGAGGTTACAAAACGTAAATTTTCTTTTATAGAGTCAAAACAAGAAAGATCAGCCTTTTCACATTGGACAAGAGAATGAAAAAGAGAACATTAAAACTTTGTACTTCGGTTCTTAACTCTATCTGAAATTATATCAGTAAACTTAATTAGAAACAAATTCGATTAATCAAAGACGTTTTTCATGCGATTTGATGGGAAAAAGATAAGATGCTGAGGCATATTTATGTTGTTTTATAACAATGAAGGAGTAGCTGCCAAAAGTGGAGTCAAAGAGGCCATGTTGGTTGGAAGCAATTTTGCTCTCCATATCTTTCTTTTACCCATTTCTCCATTTCCTCTGCCTCATGTGGATTTGTCCCCTGCATCATTCAACATTTTATATAACTATTCGTATGCGTAGAGAAACGAAACTCATTACACAAATACCTTCATATTTCGTCCCGGATATCCATGAAGTTTCTTTAACTTAAACATTAAATACTTTAAGTTATTTATTGATACATGCATATGAACTTTTACTTAGTAAGCACACCTGTGCTTTTCTGATGGATTCCAGAGTATGATTGAAGTCGTAAGGAGAACATGCAGCCGCGAGCTCCATGGAAAGAAACTGATTTTTTCGAAGGAAAATTTAATAGAACTTGTTATAACCTGAAGTAACTAAAAGAAGAAAATGAACAAAGATGTTAATTATAAGTTTCTTGATATCAACTTACCTCAACCTGATTCTGCAATGAATGAACATAGTTTATAATCTCTTCCAACATAACAGCCATACCCATCATCTGCAAATTCATATATCCAAATAAGAAAAGATAATTTGATACAGTAATTTTTTATTTGTAACGGGTATATACTGACAGAATGAAATTCATCGAGTCATTAATGAAAATCTGATATGGTAGCAGCATAATAAGAAAATCAAGTGATTGAGAAAGTTTACCTTGTTGCATCCTGGAACAAGGTCTTGCAAGCACTTCATTTTCTTATTGATTTTCTCTCTTCTCACCTGATAAAACAATTTTGAACAATATGAGTATATAATAATTCAGTTTTATTGATTACCCATAAATATGCTTGATGACATATACACACATACATATATATATATATACAAAAAAATACACAAATATACCCTTTCTGCAATGCTGTGACTGTCAGTGGCTTGTCCTCTTTTTGCTCTAACATGAATTACCTCCTCTGACTTCTCCATCTCTTTCTCACTGCTTCTACTTTTCTTCCCTTTTCCTAAGTTCTGAAAAAACAAAACATATTAAAATCTGAATAAGTCATATACATATATATATATATATACACACACAAACACATGTGAGTGTTACATGTATAGAAATGCACCCACATTCTTTTTCCTAGTACTGGAGCTTGCTGCAATTTTTGCAGAAGATTTGTTCTGGGAATTGCTGGTGGATTCTTCATTTACTATTCTCGTTTTTCTTTGATCGAAATAATCTCCGATGATCGAGCTGGTGCCGCGATGAACTGGTAGTACTCCACCATGTCCAGTGTTACTATTAAAAGTACTACTTGAAAGATTGTTATGAACCCAATTTGCAGGAATTTCAGATTGTTCTTGTTGGGCCCAGAAAGTTTCTCCAGAGTAGTCAGAAACACTTATACTCTCCAAGAAGCCTGGATTCATCTCTGTAAACTGCTTCATCATTTCCATGTTCATATCCATCTCCGAGTAAAAATCAACGGTGCTAATTAAAGCTCTTCAATTCTCTGTCTACACTGTAAGATGCCTCAATTATTTTGCTTTCAGAGGGATTTAGAAGGAAATACATATATAGATATATAGAGAGTAGGAAACCAGTGATGTATCAATGAATATATCTATATGAATTATGATGAATATTTTGTCATTAACAAGTGGGGCATCACTGTAACTTGGTTTTCCTTTGTACTCTAGTAAAAACTGAGTATACACACATTGAAGTTCCATATGGGTATTTTCATTTTTCTTTTCCATCAGGGTTCTCCATTTGGGTCCACATAAAGATGTCACATACGAATATATATATATATATATATGTATATTTATATGTTTGTGGACCAGCATAGATTTTATATTTGAGATTAAATACTGGGAAAAAAATTGAACTTTCTTCTTCTTTTTAGGCCATAAAGAGGATAAAAAGTCCCACCTTTGAATCTTCCATTACTTGACATTCTCTTTTTCTTTGTTTTCTGTTTTGGAAGATTGCAACAAGGTCAGCTCTGAGCTACTCATGGGAAGAGTTGAAAATTATTTAGGTAGTTTTTTTCTGGGTAAAAATATCTTCATGCTAGCTTTCGTTCTCGAAGGTAACGAAAATATTTACTATCTTACTCCCATTTAGAGAAAATCAAACTCCGACTTTTAACAGTTCTTGTAATTTTTGAAAACTAGTAAATCAGAACCCGAAAAATTTGTAAGAGCATGTGAAATCTTAGAAATGCTGATATCTTCATATGTTTAATCTGCAGGTATATGTCACATACTATCTTGTCTATCTCCCTCTGTCTCTTCTTTTTTCAAAAGCTTATGGAATTCGTGTCGAAACCTTGTCTGGCAATTATAGTTGGATGAAAAGCTAATGAATAGTTAGATTGTTGAAACCACAATCTTGAGAATTTCGGAAGCGAATCTCAGCCATATTTAGCCCATGATTCGTGTGTTCATGACACAAGTTATAACTTGTTCTTGCTTGTTATTTTATGTTATCTTTAAAATCATGAAACACTCATTTTGAAATTAAGTAGTGCAAGAGGATTCAATCCTGTCTCCCAAAGGTTGGGACAGAAGAGTATGACTCTTGAAAGATTATGTAATTTATATAAGTTGTACTTCAAACTTTTCATGGCTACAGAATTTTTAGTTCAAAACAAGTGTAATTTGACAATGTATGATGACTTTGTTTCTAATTGTTAAGTTCTCAAATTTTATAAAAAAGTTAAAATATGTATTTCATAGTAACTATAAATGTATATTAGATAAAAAATTATGTATTTACTTTTTACATTTTTACTATCAAATTGGGTGAAAAGTTAGATAGAAAAGGTTAAAAACAGAGGAAGTCCAACTCCAACCAACATAATCCATAAAGGTGCCAGTGTGAAACGAAAGTTGACACTGGCAAAGCTTTCTTTGTTCCCATGGCTTCTCTTCTCTCTCTTCACTCACCATCTGTTCTCCAACCAAAACCTTCCCCCCCTAGGATGATGACCTTGAATTCCATTGCTACCCTCGGAAAGTCCTACAAAATGCGAGTCCCATACGAGCTGAAGCAGGGGCAGACCCGTCTTTTCCACCAGCTCCCTTCTGGTTTGCAAATGGAGGTCATTGAGCAAACAACTGGTGTTGTTGAAGGGAGAAATGAAAACCCACCTCTGGTATTTGTACATGGGAGCTACCATGCAGCTTGGTGCTGGGCTGAACACTGGTTGCCCTTCTTTTCTGATTCTGGGTTTCCCTGCTATGCTCTTAGTCTGCTGGGACAGGTAATCTTATACTCGCCAAGTAATTGATTTGCAGCTCAATTGGGTTCTCCTTCTAGTTTTGCAAATCATTGGCTAATTTTGGATCCAGGGTGAAAGTGACGAACCTCCTGGGACTGTTGCTGGGACTCTCCAGGTATTTGGTTCTTCCCCATAAAACAATTTCTTTTACATACGAATTTAGTGGTGCTTCTTTTTCTCCCCTTCTTTCACTATTTACATTATATTCAAACTTCCCTGAAACACTTGTCCTGCTTATCAGAATAGAAAATACTGCTAATTGAATCTCCTGTTCACTGTGTTTTGCAGTAGACACATGCCGGTGATGTTGCTGACTTCATTATGAAAAGACTAAGCTCGCCACCAATTCTGGTTGGACATTCATTTGGAGGGCTTATCATCCAGTCTTATATTGCAAAAATGGTTAATGAACAATCTTTAGGTAAATGTTTTATGAATGAGAATATAAAGACCTCAAGAAACCTAGTGTGCTGACACCCCCATTACAGTGTCTAACTTTTGGAAGCTTTCCATTACATCCGATTGATACACTTGAAAATCCATTATTTCATTTTTCAAAAGGAGTTGCACAAATCGAATGGAACTTTGGAGGTGGCAATGCGTATGCTTGATATGAAATTAAAAAGATAAGTTTAGTTTGTGTGATTAGAACCTCTTTGGACTGATTAAGTAGTCTGTCACCTCCTTAGCTGGTGCTTCTGATGTGAGCCTCAATCACCTCTCTGAAAATCTTTGTTTAGCAATTAGCACGCTTCTTGGTTTAACTCAATTCTGTTCTCGTTCTACTCTTCACTCTTAGTTATTTTATATGTTTAATTTAGTCATAACTTATTTGATACATAATTGACTCAACTCACTGATTACTTAAATTCCACAATAATAGATTTGTATTCCCACTTATAAACAGATGAAATGACAAAAAAAATCTAGCTTAATTTGGACATGGAACTAACTTGGAATTTGATTACTATTTTCATTCAAGTGTTTATTCCATTTATGGATTCCTATTCTATAGATGTAATATGAACCAAACTCAGTAGTGTCTGGATTGGTTTAATGGTTTTTGATGTTAATCTAGACTGACTTTTTCAGTGTTCTCTTGATTCAGGAAAGGAAAGTGCAAACCCGAAACTTGCCGGAGCTGTGCTTGTGTGCTCTGTACCGCCTTCTGGTAATAGGTGACTTCTCATACTACCTTATGTATATAAAAAAATCTAATGTTAATGCTACTAGTTATTTGGATGTAACCAACTCTTATTTTTTTCTCTTGTCCAGTGGGTTAGTGTGGAGGTATCTCTTTACGAAACCTATAGCTGCTTTTAAGGTAATTGCTTTTACTTTTTCGAATGCTCTTTCTAGATTCTGTTCTGGGAAATATTACTTCACTTGGAAGGGAGGGTGACTTCTTATTTGTAAATATGTCAACTTAACCGACGTGGATGAGAAACTTTTCGAAACTAAAAGTTACGTGATGCATAATTCAAGTGTGTAAAATCAAAACTAACATGGAAAGGATATTGATTGTTTATTATATATGATGATATTTTAATCACCGACCTCGTTTTTTTCTTTCTTTTTTTCCCTTTCCCTTGGTTTTCACGTTAAAATGTGAAAGTTAGATATTTTTAGTGTCTGAATACATGTTATTATAAAACTTGAGCAACACTTGAGCAGGTCACTCGCAGTTTGGCTGCCAAAGCATTTCAAACATCTCTTCCTCTTTGCCGGGAAACCTTTTTCTCTTCAACAATGGAAGACCATCTTGTGCAACGGTTTGTCCAATCCTTTCTTTTAGCTTCCTCGAGGATCTTCTTTTTTCCTTGTTGTTCGCAATCACCAATGCCATGAAAATATAATCTATTTATAATTAATCAGTGACAAACATACATATGCTTAACATAGTTTTCTTTGAACTGAGAGATATCTGATCATGGACTAAACCTATCAAGGAAAAATTTGTTTTTTTCCTATTATCATATTTTTTTTCTTTTACTCTGCATAAAAGAAATTTTAATCTGCTGGTTCTTGTCCTTTGATCGGGTAGAGAACGCATTGATGGGTGATCTTTGTTTTCAGCTATCAGACACTAATGAAAGAAAGTTCTAGGATGCCATTATTTGATCTGAGGAAACTGAATGCATCCCTTCCGGTTCCAAAAGTGCCCGAATCTTCCATCAAAGTTCTTGTATTGGGTGCAAGCGATGACTTCATAGTGGTAAACAATGATCTCTAGAAATATACCTTCGATTTAATCTGCCATACCTAATTGTTCCAACCTTAACGATTTATATTAGTCCGAATCTTTTGAACACTAGGTTGACAAATCAAAACTTATTGCAGGATGCCAAAGGACTCAGCGAAACGGGTGGGTTTTATGGTGTATCACCGGTCTGTATCGAAGGTGTTGCTCATGACATGATGTTAGACTGTTCGTGGGAGAAAGGTGCAGAAGTTATACTATCATGGGTGAATGGTCCAAGCAAACTGTAGATCCGGCACGCCTACGATTATGGAAGCTTCTTCAACGTCTTGCTTCACTCGTAACCGATATGTATTATCCGAAAATTGAGTTGTTGTGTATTCATTGTAGACATTAACTTAAAGTAGATTCAACCTTATGTTTAGAACAAATTCAGATTTTTTTTTTGTGGAATTCATTTGTAAGTTCATACTTGTTTAACCCTGAAAACAATGAGAGCCATGCTTGAAATGATAAAAGTTGAGTGTGGTATGGGATTATAACAATACATTTCAAAATTGTGGAATTTAAAATCTATTGTTTGTGAAATTTCTTGTAATATTTAGTAATTTTACGACATTTTAATATAATTTATATGTTTTATCGATTTTTTAAAATAAAAAATTCAAAAAACTCTGATTAATTCAGTACAAAGAACTTTTTTTTTTTTAAATATTTTAATTAATATTCTATTGAATTGTAAATATTTTATTTAGTATATATCAAAACTTAAATATATAATTTAAAAATATAATAAATATTATATAAAAACAGAGAAATATATACCTTTTAGATTGGGCTGGGCTGGGCTGGGCTTTTCGGTAAGTTGAGGTTTTTTTTATATTTTTAATGACTCCGAGCAATCAACGGTCTGGATTCGACAAGTCTCTTTACCTTTGACCAATCAAAACCGTCCAATCTAGGGCAACTCCAAAACCCTATTTGCCAAACGATTAAACCTCATATCCGCTCCACATCGTCTTCCTCTGTTTACTCTGAAGCAGCAGAAGCAGCGGGCACCTTGGGGTTCCTCCCGGTCCGTAGAGATCTAAAGCTTTCTTCTCTGCTTGGTAAGTAGCTAATACGAATGGCTTCTCTACTTCTGTTTCACCTTATCCTTATTCGTGAATTTTCTTGTTATAAAGCTTTCGGTTTCTGGTTTGTCGAGTTATTGTTTGATTTACGTATTCGATGAATTGAACAATGCGGGTACTATGCTTTGGAAAAGACGGAATATAGGGGTTAGTTTTCCTCTTCGTGTTATCTCCAGTTATGATTTCTGAAATCAGGTTATTAAATTTTAATGATGTATTCTTTGTGCTAATTTATATAGTATTTTTTAATTGACAAGTATATATAAAATGTCATAGCGAATTAGCGAACTAGGCATTGGTATGAGCCAATAGTAACTATCGGAAGTCTGTTTCTGTGCGGTTGCTTATGTTCAGATATGCACTGATCCTATCCAAAAGAGTATGATAGAACTTAAAAATTCTTTTCGGAGTTCTTCCACTGCAGTTAAGATTTGTGGTTGCTTATGTTTGGATATGCACTGATCCTATCCAAAAGAGTGTGATAGAACTTAAATTTCTTTTCGGAGTTCTTCCACTGCCGTTAAGATTTGTGTTGCTGTTAAATCAATAAATTTGTGCTAGTAATACAGATGTATGTTTCCTAGTCCCGAGATTGTCAAAAAGTTGCAGTTGCAAGACACTGAACACTTCTGAGAGAGATTCGTTTTTCTTTCTGCAATTAACTTACTTCTCGTTGAGCTTTTTCACTATCTCCCGAAGATTCTGTTCTTATGCAACAATGGCTAAGGACAACGACTTTGTTCTATTGCCTTGATTAGTTTGGTTTTGGACAATATGAGCAACAAGCACTCTATGAATGTACTAGCCAATTTTAATCTGTATCTGGATATACTGTTTCTCATATAATTTTCAGAACTGTTTCCTAGTCCAGAGTGATTTCAAGATGGTCTTCATAAAAAATTTTCTTTCCAAATTACTGGCTGCCATGAGATGAATGTAGCATGCAATTCTAATCTATATCTGGATATACTGTTTGTCAATAATTTCCAGAATTGTCAAGATGTTCTCCTCAAAAAACAAGATCCACAAAGACAAGGATGCTGAACCCACAGAATTTGAGGAGACAGTAGCACAGGTAGGTTTCTCTATTTGGACCCTACTTCTGATGTTTTACAATTGGTGTTGGCAATTGAAATTCCTATTCCTTGTCTCTGCAGGCTTTATTTGATCTTGAGAACACCAATCAGGAGCTGAAAAGTGATTTGAAAGATCTTTACATCAACTCAGCTGTGTATGAATAATATTGTTTGCCCACCCCATTTTAGACATTCTATTTTCTCAATCTTTGTTTGACTTGCATTGCTGGTGGTATTTGATCCTGCAGTCAGATGGATATTTCTGGAAGTCGCAAGGCTGTTGTCATCTATGTTCCATATAGATTGAGGAAGGCTTACCGTAAGATTCATCTTCGCCTTGTGAGAGAGCTTGAGAAGAAATTCAGTGGAAAGGTATTCCACCAATTACCATGCTTGTTAGCATTTTTACTGACAAAGTAAAATTGTGAAAAAGTAAAATTTTGACTGTAAAAAATTTTCACCACCATTCTATTTTTTAAACAATGAACAAAAGTTATTATTTTTCAGAAATTTGATTGTATTTGAGATTTTTAAACATAATGGATGTGGTGTTATGTCATGTTTTTGCAATGTACTTATCAACTTTCATGACTGCCCTTTCAATTGCAACTTTTGTTTTCAGGATGTTGTTCTGCTTGCCACCCGCACGATCTTGCGGCCCCCAAAGAAAGGCTCTGCCGTTCAACGACCACGCTCCCGCACGTTGACTGCTGTCCATGATGCCATGCTTGACATGTTGTTTATCCTGCTGAGATTGTTGGTAAACGCATCACATACCGCATTGATGGTTCCAAGATTATCAAGGTATACAATGGATTGTTTCTTCCGCTTGACAATTACCAGCCTAAAATGAAGTTCTG